CTGCTGCCAGGGCTGCCTGTCCTCAGGTCATCCGCTCTGGGTCCCGCCGCGGTGCTGCTGGTGCCTTTCGTCACTGGGAGAAACTGCGGGACAAGCCTCACTTAGTGGCACCCCAGATCCCCTTGGACAACTTCCCTCTTCATATGCCATTCAGTATTCACAAGTGCTCGTCCACACCCACAAACTCAGGGTTATTAGCTCTGCTGGCTGCTGAGTTTCGACTGTCCGTGGGCGGGCATCTCCTTGCTGTGACATGGCTGAGGGGTGCAGTCCCCAGCAAAGGGCCCTGCTCTCACTTACCCATGCCAGTGCTCACCTGGTCGCTGGGCGCTGGAAGGAGATGTGCAGGAAGGGGCCTTCGCTCTAGTCCAGGTTCTCCATCTGCACTCTGGGCCTTGGAGCTGGCACAACTGGAGCCACGGACCCCAGGTCGGGGTTCTCCATGAGCGGTCCACTCCCCTGATTGAGATGATCACCCCATCTCGAGTTCTGTCTGCATCAGTGGCTGACGGTGTCTGGGGCTCAGGAGACATGTGTAACCAGAAGGCAGTGGCTGGGGCTTGTCGATTTACTAGCCAGGATCTTTCCCTTTCAAGCCCCAACCAGAAGCGTAAGCAGCGCCTCCATGCCCGTATCAGCTGTCAGGGGGATCCACGCGCAGCTCGTGATGCAGCTGCTGACTGTAATGCTGTAGGGTAATTCTGCAAATTATTATTTTTAATATAATCAGCTTTTCCTTAGGCAATAAAGGTAAAAGTTAAATTGCTCACAAACTAATAAATGTTTATCTTCTGAAGCATCAGATTCTGTTTACTCATGAAACACACACCTCCTCTGCTGACCCACTGGGAGGAAAATTAGCATCTCTTTTCCCTGATAAACAAAAACCGGGGCATATCCATTGATATCTTTCGATGTAAGCTCTTCCTTCCATTGAAAATGCAAAAATCAAGTGGGAGGTGTTTGGAAGAGGCCTGCCTGTTCTGATTGTAACTCCAGGGCTTAATTTTAACTTGTGAAGCTGCTGGTGGTGAGCAGGATTGTGGGGTGCCACTAGGTGTCACAATCCTGACCGCTAACAGCATGCATGGGAAACAAACTCCCCCCTTAGGTCAAGCGGCCAGGTTCTCTCTTGCCACTAGAGATGGAAGAAAGGAAATCCATTCATTACTCACCATGGGCTCCTCTTGTCCCCCCGGGGAAGGATGCTACATAATTGGTGGTGATGGGAAGCTGAGATTCCCCCAGCTGGAGTCCGTTTCAGTTCCCTGTGGTAGCAAAAGATTAGTTGAAGTTTTGAGTCTCTTATTTGTCTCTGTGATAGGAGACTTTAATTACACTTAAAAATAACCTAAGTCTGATTTTCAGATTTTCTGTCCAGTGATAGTGGTTTTCCCTTCCCTGGTTTTCAGGTATGGAGATATGAGAAGACAGATTGGCTTTGAAATCAGAGACATGTGGTACAACCTCGGTGAGTAATCAGGGTTTCAGGGCACTATAGTACATGGGTGGTGAGGACAGTGGCTCTGTTTGCCAGTGGTGGGGCATCGTAAAAATCTGAGTTGTTTCTCTTCCCAAGAAAGCAGTTACTACCTTTGTGGTAATTTTTTTCCATCAATAAAAGCTAGGAGCCCGAATTCAAGGGAAGAAAATCTGATTAGTTAGACAAAGAGAAACATCAACGGAGTGCCTTCTATGCCAGGTGAACACAGCTCTGCCATACAACTCTGTCCCTCCCAGGTGTCACTAACCTTCCCTCCATTTCACATGCTCAAATCATGTAGCTCATCCTACTAGTGCATATGTCATCACTTCATGCATTCAGTTTCTCACAGTCTACCTTCTGAGGCTTATTTGTCTACTCAAAACTGGATCCTCTATTTAGTACATTGCCACCAGCTTGTGGTAGTTTCACATGCTTGTACAAGCAAATCATGTGTGTTGTTTAGGTGTGGTTAAGTGTATACGTTAAGAATAATGTGTGTTTAACATAAGAAATCAATGTAGGGCCTCCCCGGTGGCGCAGCGGTTGAGTGCTGGGTTGCAAAGCTGCCCGCAGCCTCTACAGCACCGGTTCAATCCCCGGCTGCTCCCTGGCCACCGGAGGAGGGTCCCGCATGGCGCACAGACCTCTCCTGCCGCCCGCTGCTCCCCCAGCAGTGTACTTCGGTCCTTCTGCCTGCTCTGCTCCCCGCTCTGGCTCTGGTGAATTCTCTCACCCTCCCGCGCTTCTGACTGTACCCAGTGCTTGTATAAATAAATAAATAAATCTTTTTTTAAAAAAGAAAGAAAGAAAAGACTGTCTTCTACTGAATCATTTAAAAAAAAAAGAAATCAATGTAGGCATTTATCACTATGAACTTCCCTCTTCATACTGCTTTTGCTGTCTCTCTCAGGTTTTGGTATGTTGTGTCTCCAATATCATTTGTCTGAAAATATTTTCTGATTTCCCATTTGATTCTTTTTCAACTCATTGATTGTTCAGGAGTTGTTTTTAAATTTCCACATATTTGTGGATTTTTTTTTTAAATTTCTGTTGCCATTGTCTAGTTTCATTCTATTGTGATAGGAATAGCTGCTTGATAAGATTTTGGTCTTCTTAAATTTGATAAGACTTGTTTCGTGACCTAACACATGATCTATCCTGAAGAATGTTCTATGTGCACTTGAGAAAAATTTCTCTTCTGCTTTTACATAGATTATTAAGTAAAATGTTCTGCAGATGTCTTTTAGGTGTTTTAGGGTGCCTTTACTGGTAAAGAAAGATTGTGAATAAATAACTTTGCACCTCAATGAACAATAAAATTAGAACAACCTAGCCTAAATGTGTCATAAGGGAGGAAATAATAAAGACAAGAACATTCATTGTTTAAATGAAATAGCTAATAGAAAATACAATAAAACTAAGAGTTGATTTTTTGAAAAGATAGACTTAATTGACAACTCTTTAGCTATATTAAGAAAAAGTGAGAGAAGACAAAAAATGAGTCTGAAATGAAAGAAGAAATATTATCACTGAAGCCACGGAAATAATAGGGATCAAAAGAGACAACTATGGATAATAACATTGCAATAAATTGGATAACTCAGGGAATCAAAATGTATGGATTCCCAGAAACTTACCAAGACTGAATAATGAAGAAATATAAAATCTGAACAATGCTTGGATGAGCAATCAAAAAATTTTTCAACAAATAAAAGCCCAGGACCAAATGGCTTTACTAGTGAGTTCTACCCAAACTCTTCTGAAATATTAAAGAGGAACACTTATTTTATGAAGTTAGCATTACCCTGATTTCAACGACAGACAAAAACACTACCAAAAAAACCCGAAAACCATAGGATACAGCCCCTTATAAAACATAAACTTTAAAATCCTCAAGAAAAAACATGAAAACTGAATTCAACAGCCCATTAAAAGGAACATACATTAAGGTCAAGTGGGATTTATCCCTGGGCAGCAAGGATGGTTGAACATATGAAAATCAATTCATGTACATTAACAAAATGAGAGATAAAGCTCATAAGATTATCTCAATAGATACAGAAGAGGTATATGACAAAAGAGCACTCTTTCATGATAAAAATGCTCAAAAACCCAGATACACAAAGACTATATGTACCTTAGTAAAATGAAGGACATATGTGATGGGCCCACCACCAGTATCATATTCAGTGGTAAAAACTGAAAACTTTTGGGCCTCCCCAGTGGCGCAGCAGTTGAGCACTGGGTTGCAAAGCTGCCCGCAGCCTCTGCGGCGCCAGTTCGATCCCCGGCTGCTCCCCGGCCACCGGAGGAGGGTCCCACATGGCCCGCAGACCTCTCCTGCCGCCCGCTGCTCCCCTCAGCAGTGTCCTTCGGTCCTTCTGCCTGCTCTGCTCCCCGCTCTGGCTCTGGTGAATTCTCTCACCCTCCCGCGCTTCTGACTGTGCCCAGTGCTTGTATAAATAAATAAATAAATCTTTAAAAAAAAAAAACTGAAAACTTTTGCTGTGAGATCAGGAACAGGACGAGAATGCTTGCTCTCACCACTCCTGTTCAACATAGCACCGGAAGTCTGTACCAGAGCAATTAGCTGATAAATGGATTCAGATCAAAAAAGTAGTAAAATGGCCTGTTAAAATGGACTGCATGATGTTATAAGTAGAAAATCCTGAAGACCCCAGCAGAAAACTTGTATAACTAAGAAGCAAATTCAGAAAAGTTGTAGGCAGGCAGCCACAGGACAGGGGCGGAAGGGACCTGCAAGTCCGGGACACCAGGAGAACAGCCAAAGCAAAGTCAAGGTAAAGGCGGCCATTGTCAGCCTCCCCATGGGCCTCTCACCCACATCTTTCCCATGTGTCTCTTCCATGTCCCCCAAGTCCCGGGGGCAAGCCCAAGGCTGAGAAGGAGGCACAGCTTTTTCTTCACGTGTCTCAGCTCCACCTGTCTCCTCCGCTTCTGCTTCCCAGTCTCCCACGTGTCTCCTGGCTGCTCTATACCGCCTTCCTTGGGTGCGGCCAGGAACATGGAGCTTCCCTGTTTTATGGAGATCACACCGTTACAGGAGCAGGGAAGAGGGGCGTCTCTGCGAGGCCCCCTCCACAGCCTCCTGGAGGCTCACCCCCTCCTAGGCCCTCCCTTGCTGTAAGGTCGCCCTTGTCCCTCCACGTGGTGTCTGTCTCTATGCTCCAAGCAGACCGCATCAAGCCTGGGGGACTTTTGACTTGCAACCTAAAGGATGCACTTAAGAGAGCAAATGTCCCGTTTCATCCTGTCAGCTGCTGCTTTGCATGGGGTGATGAACACAGGAGACCTGCGTTTTGGCAGCATTTCAGCCGGGGGCCCGGGCTCTGGCGAGAGACTGCTGCCAACAGGTCAGCTGTGAGCCACGACCCACCATGGTCACCAGGAGGGCATTTGGTAGCAGCGACAAATAATCATTGGCCAATGTGACTGGGCTCCTTGTCCATAAAATAATAGCATTTTTGAAATAAATTAAAAAACAAATGAGATTTTTGAAAATTAAAAGTAATACTAGTAGGGGTTGTCCCCTTGGGGTCACCCCAGCAGCCTGGCCCTCCCACCAAGACTCTCGGGTGCTGGGGGACCGGCTGCCTATGTCACAGCAGAGGCCACACGCTCCACACTCACGACAGCTTGTCTCGATTTCCCAAAATGCACACAATCTATTTTTTACCGGCTCTCTTTTTTTAATGGGCTCAGATTTGGGGAGATATTGGCAGGCTGATCTAGCCAGGTCTGCCAAGAAAACAAAAATAGAAGTCAGATATATTTTTCATCTTACAGTGGGGCGCCTATCACTTCAGCAGGGCCTGCTCCCCAGGCACCCCCGACACCCCTTCTTCCTTGAGCGTCTCAGTTAGGACGTGGGTGCCTGGAAGGGGCTTGGAGATCGCACCTCCCTGCTGCGCTTCAGTGCCAGAAAAGGGTCTGTTTTGCTGGATCTGATGTGCCTGCACACTTGGCGCTGCCCCTGGGGACAGAGCGGCAGGCTTCTCTTCCTCCAAACCTGTCATATTTTGAGTGTGAAAGGGGAAATCGAAAGCAGGCTTCCCTTCAAAAGAAAGGGGCAAATGGGCTTATTTACCCAGCTCTTCTGTGCTTACCAAAGCCCGCTCCCGAGAGCCGGGGGCTGGCGCACCTGGCTGCTTTCATCTGCCACCTTGATTTATACTTTATGACGGAGCTGACACCGTATCCAGCCTGACTGGGATAAAGGCGCCTCAAGCAGGGGCTTTATCGGGTGGGTTGGGTCCAGATACTTTTCCTATGGGGATTCCCTTCCTGGCTTTTGGGAGGGGGCTGCACAAGTGGTATCTTTTTTCCTTAAAACGCATGTGCAGTGAGGTCTCGTGAGTTTCACTGGGGCTGGAGCAGAATGTTTTGCTCTGCCTGGCCCAGGGTATACAAGATTTTCCTGGCATGAGACTAGGTCTAATGTCAAGATTTCAAGCCTCTGTGGTTGTAAAGACTCATCCACACGCCCAGGGGTGCTGGTGCTGGGGCCTGGCTTCCCTGAGAAAGCCTGGACTCAGCCCTGGGGGTGCAGCTCCTGCTTTGTAACTACAAAAAGTACTTTTTGCCGGTGGGTTTTAAAAGCTGGGACGTGGAACTGGGAGACTGGAAGGGTAAGCAGAGCTGAGTGTCCCTGTTGCGATTTTATCATGAGCATGTCCTCCCTCCATCTCAAAAGAGGGGCCATGTCCATCCTGCGTTCTCAGAGACGACAGGGCAGGAGTCAACTTGCCCTTCATTAATTCCAAACTGAGCTCATCAGTATATTTGCCAAGACCCTCTCCAGAGCAAACCCATAATGCAAATGTCAAAAAAAGGAAATAGGAAGTCCCCAGCCCCCTGAGGACCACTGGCCTGGGGCGACCTCCATGGAAGAGGTTAGTGTTGGCCCAGCCCCGCAGTTCCTGCATTAAAGGGAGGGCTGGTAATGCAATTAGGAGACCCTCATTTCCGGGGCTCCTTCCCCGATTCCGCATGACAGCCACTTGTTACTGCCTGCTCTGTCCCCGCCCCCCGCCCGGCCTGGAGCCTAGAGCTGTACGTGACAGGCAGGGCACGCGGTGACACTCAAACTGCGCTTGATGAACAGCTCCCTGTCACTCTCTTCAGTTTTCCGAAGCAGCGACTCTGACTTTTTTTAGGCTTAATACAAGAAAAGTGCTGCCTGAGAGACAGACTCTAATAGCATGTTTAAGAGAATGCTTTGCACAGTTGCATGCCTTTCAGAAACCTGGAGCATTTGGGAAAGTGATGAGTACGCTTGATGAGAGACGTAATCAAAATGTCATCATTTACTCAAAGAAGAACCTAAGACTTCGGTGCTGCCCGATGCTTTGCTGAAGGTTCTGTTGTACGTGTCCACCCAATACGATTTTAGAAGAATATTCACTTAGACGAACAACAAGGCTTACGTGTTTTGTTAATTGCAATTATTTATCATCGCCAAATTTGTTTCATGGTTTTCTTTACAGAAGTCTGTATTCGTGGAGTTAGAAAGCAAACCAGATCCTCCAGAGTATCCATTCTTGTTCCTGATTTTGTAAAATTATTAGTAGCATTGAACTCTGGGTAAATTGCTGGTGTTAATAACAAAATGTCTCAAGTATTCACTCAAGCGTTTCATTCGTTGTGCATCCTTCTGTTAAATATTGGAAATGAAATGATATAAATTAAATGGGGTGAGATACAAATAAGATGTCTCAAGTGAAAGACAAGAGGCACCAACTTTAAAAGGCCACTTTCCTGCTGGGACCAACTTCCCAGCTGCCTCCCTTCTGCCGTCGCTCAGACCTTCCTGGGCTCACTTCCAGGTCCCTGTCAGCTCCCCGTCACCCAGCCCTCAGGGGTGTAGACAGCACCCGAGTGGGGGCCGGCCCGGCGCAGCGGCGGAGGCTCTGAGCACGCCTGTCCAGTCCAGGACGGGCCCTCCCATGCATGGGACTGAGCTTCCCAACAAATGCAGTTAAAATAGAAATGGCAAAAACAAAGGTTTGGTGCCTGCAAGAAGTTCAGCCTCCACATTTTGGGGGCCCTCATAGATTGAGGTGCCCCAGCAGTGCCAGGTGATGTGGCTGGTCACGTCCCAGCCAATAGAGGTGGAAAGTTGGTGCCACTTCTTACACGGAGGGGAGTCCTGGTGTTCTGGAAAGTTCCTGTGACAGACAGGTAGTGACGGAATCACTCAAATGAGGGCAGGTTGATGCTTTGGAATTGGTCTGGGCTCCTGCCCCGCTCCCCAATTCCTCTCTGTTGGCCGCCTGTGGAGGACGCTGACGCCAGCGTGGCCGTGCATGTACCGTCAGTTCAGGGTCATTATAAAAAATAAAGTCTAGGTAAAAAATGTAAGTAAAACCTGTTGAGAAGTTGAGAAGGTGGACCCGACTCGGGTGTGGGTGTCGCACGGGGCCGGGACAGTGTCCGTGGCGCCCACAGCGGCTGTGCTGTTTGTCAGAGCAACCTTTGAGAAGCCGCTGTCTGCGGCCCTGGGAGCCGCAGCTGCAGGGAGGTGAGTCCAGCTGAGCAACGTAGTCACTGAGAGAAGAGTTTCCCGTCAACAACAGCCAAGGAAAGCAGGTCCCTCGGTTGTCACAGCGTGGTCCTGGCCGCTCGGCCGCCACCCCAGCCCTGCAGGAGGTCACCAACTGGCTGCATGACCAGAGGTGCCTGGTGTCCGCCTGCGCCCTAAGACTTTCAGCGGCCCCGGGACTGCCTGCTCAGACTCCCTGGCTGCATTTGCCCTTGCTCCCCAGGGAGAGGCCCAGCTCCTGTCTCCCAGCCCTGCTGTTGAGGACTCGCCACCCCCTAGTGACCCCTGGTCTCCATCCTTGTTATGTGGTCGTCTGTGAGATGGATAGGCCTCCACTGTCGGCGGTGGACAGTGCTTACCGCAGATGGATGCGTGTTCCAGCGCCACTCACGGCACTGGAATACAGTTCTTCTTCTTCTAGAGGCTGGGGGCCATGCCTGCCGCCTGCGGCCCACAAGTGGACCCAGGCCGTGGGCTCCTCGACTCCCGCGGACCTGTGCTACTTGGTTGTGTCCCTTGCAGCCCGTTTTTGAGTCTTATATACGTGTGCGCGCGTGTGTGTGTGTGTGTGTGTGTGTGTGTGCATATTTCTAAGTGATGCCTCTCTTTATTCAAGGCCAGCACAAGATAAAGTTCATCCCGGAGATGGTGGGCCCGATTCTAGAGATGACGCTGGTTCCGGAGACGGAGCTGCGGAAGGCCACCATCCCCATCTTCTTCGACATGATGCAGTGCGAGTTCCACTCCACCCGCAGCTTCCAGATGGTAGGCACGTGGCGCACGTGGCTTGGGGAGAAGGGGGGCAAGCCGGAAACCCCAAAAGAGACGTGTCAGGGAAGCCGTTGGCCACGGGAGACGGTGCTCCCACCACCTGGGGAGTCCTGGCGCTCTCCTCGCTGGGGAGCCGGGGCGGTTTGCGCGCACTGAGGGGGCTGTGCTCACTCCTGACTTTTCCTCACTTGTCCTCTGCGTTTACTTACGCCGGGCCCCGGGCCTTTCTCTCCCCCGTGGTATGCGCTTGGGAGACGCTTAGTCCCGGCTGCAGTGTTCTCCAAATGGCTGTTTGTGGCTGGGTGATGTTATTTTAAAACCCAAAGTCCTTGCCTTTACCCCCTGAAATGGGGGCCTCAGGCTCCCCAAAGAAAGCCTCCCTGAGGCGCTCACACCCCCTCCCCACCGACCCACCAGAACCAGGAATCACAACTGATGGCCGTCCCCAAGCTGCACACACATCTGGCTCTTTGGATTTTTTTCTGAATCAAATCCAAGGAAGGACCTTCTGGGGAAAATATGATTAAATTAAAGAGCCAGGTAAAGCAGAAAAGTGTTTTTATGTGGATCAATGTTACTAACCCAGGACGCTAAGATCGAAATTCCTCACGTGACACCATCCATCATCCCTTGAAGAGTCTTTGGGTCTGAATGGGGTCAAGGGCTTCGGGAGTGGAGACGCAGGTGAGAGGTTTCCCTCTCGGCAGGCGGACACTGAGTCTGGGGTGTCAGTGCGTGCACAGCGGGCACCTGCCCCCCACTCGCTCCCCTGTGGTGCTCCCCAGTCTGTCCACCCTCAGGAGACACCTGTGCAGACTCACTAGCCCGTCTGAGACCACGGGGGTCTTCCCACTGTCCCACTAGCATGAGATGCCCCTTGGTGTGTGTAAGCAAAAGCACAGACGTTAGCCAGGCCCACGAGAGCCCGCTCGGGCCTGGGCGCGGTGCGGCCAGGACACCTTCAGTCACTGTGGCCACGGGCCTTCTGGCCTCCCGCCTGCCCCCCCTGTGCCGACAAGCCAGCCACTGCCTTATAAAATCAAGGCAGAAAAACTAGAACCTACGATACAACCTTGCTGCTCTGTCAGTCGTTCTTGCGAGGGGGGTCAAGAACCCCCCTCTTCTGTGGGGGCATCTCAGCACCCACATGGCCTGGCCTCCCCCGGGTCCTGATCCCCACCTGCCACACTCTCGTCGTGGGGTCTGTAGTGCATCACTGTGTCCTTGGCTTTGCGCGCTTTCATGCCTCGGATGCCAGAGGGTGGTGAAAACAGCCGGCTCCTCCGCTGTCCCAGGTCCAGCGTCCATCGGTTTCTCACCACCCGCAGCCCAGGCCCTCCGGGGCTGCAGTCCTGGGACTTTGCTGTTCTGGCTCAGGAGGCCCCTTTGGCAGCTCTCCCCGAGGCACCCACCCTCTCCCACCCCACACCCAGGGTGATGTGTGTGGAGAACTTCGGGAAATCCTGATTTATTTCAGAGGAGCCGTGCTGTGTGCAGAGATCCCAGGCTGTGCTAAGCCGGCCCCGAGGGCTGGAGGCACAGCATATGGGGCCCACGTCATCCCTGCAGGCCCCCCGAGCCCCGAGATCTGCGGTGAGTCCTCCCCAGCCTGGGAGGACTCGCTGACACGCTGCCCCCAAATGAGTTACACTCCCACAGGACTTTGCTTCATAAAGCAAGTAAACAAATGAAAAACCTTCCCTTTAAATTCTTTCCTGGCACCTTTTGAGAGAATTCCATTTGTTACATCTTTGGAAAATATAGAACAGCTGAGAATTGCAGCAAATGACCACGCGGGTGCAACAGCATTAATAAAAGTGGGATGAAAAGGGTCCAGAACAGAATCATATTTTCCATCTTGGAGCTATTTTCTGTCATCTTTGTGAGGTCAGTAAAATGCTCCACAACTTCCAGAAATTCTCATTTAGAAACAACATTAGAACATGAGTAATCTTCGTGTCTGCGATGTCTCTGAGTTCCTGTTTGAATAATCCCTCTCGACTGCCCAGGACGGGAACCCTAAGCAAATAGTTAAATAACCCAGGTGGATGTTGGCAGCATCTGCCACCGGGGAAAGCAGAGTATTTTATACTATACTGTGAGTGGGAACACTCGGGAGGTGACTGTGCCTTCAATTCATTGCCGTTTTGTTTGTGGGTTTGTTTACTTTTTGCTTTCATTTTCGGAGCAGCCCTGACGTTGCTATCTGGGAGAGAGGAACGGGCCATGGGAATTATTAGGCTTCCATTTCCCTGAATCCAGACCCAGAGGGGCTGAGGCTAGGGTGGAGCTGGAGCCCAGTGACCCAGAGGCTCTGATCACCATGAGCTTTACCCTTAGAAGGCCTCCAGGAACAGATGCCCAGACTCCTGTCATCCCCTTCACCACATGGAATGGGGCTCATTCGAGGACGTGGTCTCTGAGTTGTTGTCCCTACGTCGGGCCCCAAGGCCCCCTCAGACTGGGTCATTGGCCATGGGCAGCAGCTGGGCCTGGCCAAGGCGGTGCCGCCTGTGCAGGCTGGAGCTGTCGCTGGCTGACCAGGCCATGCCTCTGGGGCCTCTCACCTCATGACTGTTTCCCCAAAGCTTCCAGGTCAGCGAGCCGCCTGCTTGGTGGACGAGCACGGATGTGGGATCTCAGGCTGTGGGCTGCGGAGTGCCAAAGACTAGTCCCGTGGGTAATTAAGTTTACAGAGCGGTTAAGTAAGAGAAATGCAATACACGTGAAATGCAGGTGTTGAGCAGGGGCTCAGAGGCTGAGATGGATTGGGGGGTCAGGCGCTCATCCATGCTGCCAGGCAAGCAGGGCCAAGGGCATATGGGCCAGGCTGCTCTCTGCCCAGCCCGCCAGCTCCTGCCTGGCCCTGCTTTCTCTACCTCCTCCCCCGCACAGCCCACCTCTCCTGTCCCTGCTGAGGAGAAGGGATGTGGTTGGATGTCCCATCCTCCTGGCCGTCCGAGGTGCAGCCTCTGGGAGAGTGGGGCCTGGTGCCCTCGGCTGAGTCCACACTCCTGCCTCGTGTCCCACGAGTGTTTCCCTAAAAGCAGGAGAAAGCAGGGCAAGGAGCCAGCTCACTAGGGTTTTCGGTGAGTTGGCGAAACCCTGTGTTAAGACACTTAGCAGCCCATGCCCAGTGCAGGGCTGCCCAGCTCTGGGTGCTCACTGGCACCCCATCATGAGCCAAGTGACTTGTGTAGACCGTCCCAAAGCCTCTGACCTGGTGCCACAGAGGCCAGGCGCTTCCCAGATGCCTGGACAGGGCAGGCCTGGCCGTGCATGGATATACGTGGTGACCTGGATGCAAATCTGATCCTCAGAGAAATGGTGCATCGCGGGCGAAGGGAACATGGAGAGGCTCTGGCTCTTGTTTGCCTCCTACCCGCAGCCTTTCCGGCTACTTCCTGTGGCCTCGCACTGCTCCTGGGTTGTGGGTGACCAGGGCCGGGAGGTGTGGGCCAGGGCAGCACACCTGGGCACCTGGGCCCACAGAGCATGGGGTGGGCACATATGTAAATGCAGGCCCTGGGCCCAGAAGCGCGGGTAACAGGGGCCTTCAGCTCTGGCGCTCACGGGGGCATCACTGAGGCTAGGGGCTCGGTTGCTGTGTCTGGTCCCCTGCTTCAGTATTAAAGGCCTGCGAGAGATACCGAAGGCTCCGAAACCTCTTTCCACCTGTGAGAATCGGCAATGAACCAACACAGCTGGCCTGGCTGGCAGCAGGGCACTGGCAAAGGAGTTAGCCACACCCTTCACTCCAGGACTCTTACGTTGGAGCCAGTGATCCATGGTTGACTGGGGCGATGAGAGGCCTATGTCTGGTTCCTTCCTCATTTAACTGAATTAACATCCGTGTCAATACCTCCCAGGTGCACCCCACACCCCACCCCCCACACACACCCCACATGCACCGCACAGACATACACACCACACACAGAGCACAGCACACCCAGAACACAGCATATGTGGCTTGTGCTTCTTATTTGCAAAGGGCTGTTGGCATCAGATATTTAGAGATGCTCCCTTCGATATCCTGAGTTTGACGCTGGATATTTTTGCAGCAATATTGGTGATTCAGAAAACAGAGGAAAATGCAGTGATTCTGCTTGTCACGTGAGTGAGCTTCTGCCACCTTTGGAGCATGCAGTAAACCCTTGCTAATTTTATCCCAACCACCACAGAACCCCGCTGCAGATTACCAGAAAGCTTTTTTTTTTTTTTTTTTTTTTAATGAAACCAGCTCTGTTCTATCAGCAAATGCGCCTTCTGCAGTTTATTTGGACATGACAGCTTAATTCTGATTGTGATAACAGTCCGCAGCACACCAGCAAATTGATTCTAGGACGCTGTGTAAAAATGATGGGGCCCCGGAATCGGAGGCTGCTCACAGGTCTCTGCTTGCTGAAAAGCCGAAGCGGGTTGGCAGGTGTTTGTGCAAATTACTCCGTTTAGACTAGAGGTTAGTAAAATTAGAATCAGCTGTGTTCTTCTGATTTACTTATCATTCAGCCACTCTTTTTAGAAAACATTAAATTCATCAGTCAAAATTTGATAAGCAGCATACTTGCGGGTGGCAGCTTCCTAGCGCCCTGTTTGTGACAGCGGGGTTTGTGCGGAAGCAGAGAAAACATCCGTCTTCACAAAGTGGGCTCCAAGCTCAGAGCCCCCTGGTGAACCAGTGATGAGCTGCTTGAAACCCGGGTGTGCGCCTGGCAGGGCGGGGCCTGCTTGTCCTCTGCAGGCTTCCTCCCCCTGGGCAGTCACCCATGTTCTCACTTAACTGAGCCCCATTTTGCATCCCCATGATTTGTTTTAAAAAATCAGCACTCGCCCAACCCTTGACTTTCGGTGTTCCGGGAGATGGGGCTGCCTTGAAATGCCAGTCTGGGGCTTGTCGGAAGTAATCGCCCTTTTTCTGGATCCCAAAAGGCACCACCTTTTGCAAAATCCTTTTCTATAAAAAGCAGAGTGGGTGAGTCTCAAAAAGTGATTTTATAGTAAAAGTCCTTATCACAAGCTGCTCTTTTTCACTAGAGCCTCCTCTGTGTTCCTAAAACCCCTGAACTTCTCGACCAAACCGGATCAGAAAGCAGGTATTGACTTGGGGGGGAGACGGGAATCAGGGAGACAGCGGCCGTGACCCGCCACGGTCCCTGCTTCTGGGATGTCGCCCAGCGGTTGCTGTCAACACTGATGGGTTCTCCTCCCCCGTCCTGTCCTGTTTCACCGTGGCCCGGGGGAAGTGTGGCCTGGGCAGCGCGGCCCCATCAAGGCCAGGCGGGCCTGGTCTCGGCGGCTCTTCCCTGGTCTCGCCAACCGGCACCTTCTGCTTCCCCACCATCCGCCCCCACCTCCCATAACAAACATGGCTGACACGTTACCCCGCCCAGATCTGGTTTTCTTGGGGCTCTAGCCATACAGCCACCCCAAGGCTCGTCCGTTCCCCGGAGCCCTGACTCGGGTGCTGGTCCAGATGCTGGGATCCAGCAGTGACCCAGAGGGAAAAAATTCTCCCTCACAGCTTAAATTCCTATGGGATCCTCATAACAGTGGGGGATGTGGGGACCTGGGGAAGTAACATCTGAGCATCTTTTTTAAAGGGACCCCGAGACCCGTGCCTACGAGCCACATGCACTTGCTGTCTGAACCCCGAATTCAGTTGTTGCTCCCTTCAGTCCTTTGTCAATTTCTTTCAGCGCTGGGAGGCCAGCCCCTCTCTACGGGAACTAACACTCTCGCGGCCCTGCCTTGTTCCTGGCCTGGGCCCCTGGGGAGCCACAGGGCTCTCTGCAACCCGAGCCAGAATCCCAGCTCTGAGTCCTGCCAGGCCCGGGGACTAGGCAGCCAGGATGCGGGCCCATGGCCATCAGGATCAAAGTGGTTCTTTCCAGTCTGTGAGCAAGGGGTTCATGGCCCCCATGAATGTATCTTGGAGAATTGCTCAACAGTGGATTTTTCTTGAAGCGGGGAGTGGCGGGTGGGGTGGGGGGTCGGAGAGACAACTAGCCAGTTCCAAGGATGCTTCCCACCAGGGTGCTCTGGAAATGCAATCTCAAACTTCAGGGCGTTCAAGGGCGTCTGGAGATGGCCCCTCTGAGGGCTTCGAGAACTTGCCCTCTCTTTTTTTTGTTTTTTCACCCAAACTGAGAGGTCTCGCTGTGGATGAGTGGCAGCCACGTGGCCTTGGATGTTTCCAGACAGCAGAGAACGCTGCTGGCCGGTGAAACGCCGTCTTTTCTTTCCAGGAGCCACGAGCTAAGTCGGGTGTTTGGTTCATAGCGACGAGCTCGAGATGTGTTTTCTTGCTGCGTCTCCGTTGTGTCCCCTGCGGTTTCCTTGTCTTTCCCTGGGCCCTGCTCCTGCTCTTGGACGTGCTGCTCAGGCGCCATCACCCGGGGGCACGGGACGTGCCCCACAGCGGGACGTCGGGGCGCCCCCCAAGAGAAGTCGGCTCCCGGGGCGGGGCGACCGCCTGACGCGGTGTCCTCCGGCTCGCGTGCTCTTGACGCCCAAGTCCTGCAACGGCGCATCCGCCCTGCGATGACTTACGCTTCCTCTGCTTAATTATAGTTTGAAAATGAGATCATCACCAAGCTGGATCATGAAGTGGAGGGAGGCAGAGGAGACGAGCAGTACAAAGTGCTATTTGATAAAATGTAAGTGTTGCTGCACAGTGGGATTTATGTCAGCGTGGGGGGGGGGGAGACTGTAATTAGACTCCAGTGAACTTTGTAGCCCAGATATAATTAAAATGTGTTAATAATGGGAATATTCCAGCGCACACCAGCGTCGAGTTTCTTTCTCTGCGCGTGATTAACCAGGTGCGTGTCGTGCCTTGTGCCGCAGCCTCCTGGAGCACTGCCGGAAGCACAAGTACCTCGCCAAGACCGGGGAGACGTTCGTCAAGCTGGTGGTGCGCCTGATGGAGCGGCTCCTGGACTACAGGACCATCATGCACGACGAGAACAAGGAGAACCGCATGAGCTGCACCGTCAACGTGCTGGTGAGGACGCCGCTGAGGGAACCCTGTCTTCGCGGGCGCCAGCCCTGGGGCCCTCGAGTCCCAAAGTCTGGTGGCAGCTGGCCGGGGGTGGGGTCCCCTGCTTGCCCCCAGTCTGGGCAGAAAGGGGTAAGGGGCACTGTCTGCAGAGCCCCCCTAGAAGGGTCTGTCGAGTCCTGGCCCCCCAAGTGTCTTTGCTTTGTTCTTCCTTCCTGTGGCTTCGGGCGCTGCATCTCCCTGCCCTGTCACCAGCAGCTCCCTCGTGGCACAGGTCGCTGGTACGTTAACTGCATCCTTGGTCCTCACAGGCGACTATAAGAGGGTACCATGCCCTCAGCAGGGAGAATGGGGATCCATCCCCGAGAGAAATAGCCACACCCCGATTCTCAGAACCTGCAAATGTGGATCACTCGGATACAAGGGTCCTTGCGGGTGTAACCAAGGGCGCTAGAGCATCCTGGGCTGGGGGCGGCGCTAATCCCATCGCCACGAGTTCTCGTGGGAGAAAAGGAGGTGACTAGGATGGCAGACTTGGGGGATTATCAGGCTGGTTGTGGAGACTGGCTGTGACCGACATGCTCAGGGCTCTGAAGTGGAAGGAGGCTTGATGCAAAGCACGTGGGCAATGTAAGCAGCGATGGAAACTCTCAGAAAGAATCAAAATGAAATGCTCAAAATCCAGAGCACTAGCAGAACGCAGAGACTTCAGGTCTCACCGTGGACCCGACACCCGAGGGAGCCCCATGAACTCGGAACCTCTGCACGTGTTTGCGAGCCCCGTGTATGCTCAGGCAGCTGTCCGCACCAGCCCTGCGCCCGGCCTCCACTCTGCTAGCCTCGACTCCACCTGGGACAGGTGTGCACGAGCTCCCAGGGAAGCTGCCCACCTTCAACGCCAGACCAGCCTGGCCCTCACTCCTCCTCCGGTCCTGCCTCTGTCTAAGCAACGTGCCTTGGCAGGGCCACCGAGGTTAAATAGCAACCAGTACTTTAACACGGAGAGAAAAGGATCGCTCTTCCCAGTCAGTCCCTAGCGCTGCCTGGTTTTCAGGGGGTCAGCAGGCTGCTGACCAGGGGATGGGCCCCAGCGTCCATGGCCGAGATGAGTGTGTTTTATGCACAATCACACCTGCTCACCTGGACACACAGTCTGGCGGGGAGTGGTGATGTGCCCTGAGCCGGGTCTTTTGTCACCTGAACAAGCTTTTGTCTTTTGTCACCTGAACGGCTCTCCCTGCAGTCACAGTGCCTGGCGCTGAGGTGTGTCCCTCCACCCACGTGTGTCCCTCCGCCTTCCTAGCTGTGCCGCCATCAGTCCCCCCACCTGGGGCCCGGCGTCTGCCTGCAGGAGCCCTGCGCTCCTCTCCTGCAGCTGCAGGAGGATCAGAGGACCCCAGCCTGTCACGGTTCTGTTATTAAAAAGAATAGCATCTGTGGATTAAAGAAAAACAAGAAAACGGGAGCTTTGCGGCGGGGCGTTTCATCTCTAAGCATCCTCAGCCCAACTCCCATTCAGTCACAGAAGCGGAAAGACAGACACAGCCTCTAGTCCGCTTTTCCTTTCCTTCTGGAATTTGTCTGATGAGCCGTTGGCTCCAGATGAATATGTCTTTACATTTTCAGGTGAATGTGATACATAAAAACATAATAGAGATAAATTAAATGTACTCAGTTTATCGCTAAGCAGAAATCGCCTTGAAATCCTAGAGTTAAAAATCAAGCACGCGGGCTGGAGGAGGTCCTTCAGGCCCGTTGCCTCTCTCCCTAGAACAGCTGTGGTTTCGAAACACGGGGTGAGTGGAACGTCCTCCGCTGCGTGGGCCCAAGGCCCTGCTCGTCCTAAGATTTCAAAACACAGGAATTAAAATCAAAAAGTAAGAGACGTGAGTGCAGCCCAGTGGCCCGACCCCTGAGGTCCCAAAGGCCCCTCCACGGGCCCCTGGGGTCACAGTTCCAAGCTACGAGGCACCGTGGGATGCAGCCTTCCATCGCTGGGGAGCCCCTCTTCCTTCCAGCTGCCGCCCACACAGCCCGTGCCCAGATGAGGAGCGTGACGCAGCTTACAGATGTTCCGAAGGTGAATGAAGACGCGGCTACGAGCCTACGGTTCAGGCTAGAATTCTAAACATCCCCGTGTCTGTTTGAGGCATGAAAGAGTACAAAATCCGAACCGAATCCAAATGCATCTCTGAGCTGTCAGTCCTGACAGCTGTGTGTGGTGGGGGCGGCCCCGCGGGCTGCTGGTGGCCGAGTCCGGAGCGCAGCGGACGTCCGTGCTCGAGGGGGGCTTGAACGGGCCGCGGCTGGGCCTGCGGCTGCTGAGCCAGTGGCGGGGCAGGCCCCTGAGCATCTGGACTTTACGTAAGACACGCAAAGGTTTTATATAGAAGTTGGGGTTTGAGATGAGCCTCTTTCTGTCCTGGAGAGGTTTTGAAGTCCTAGGAAGGCAGCGGAACTCGGCGCGGGCAGGAAATAGAAGCAGCTCCACATCTCGCGGCGTGGGAGGAAGGTCGCTGGCGTCCCCGTGGTGCGATTGTGAAGACATGATCAAAAGCTTAGGGAAGGATTAAAAATACGAATGCGAGAGGGTGGTGTGAAGCGTAGCTGGCAAGTGCTGGCGGCTGGGCTTGGAAGGCGGCTCACCCCCTGCCTGGGACGCAGCCGCTCCTGGTGACGCCGCGTCGGGGCTGAAAATACCCCGTGACGTGGCCGTGGCGTGTCGAGGACGTCGGATCCCCAGATGCCGCGGAACCTGAAAATCTTGCTGCGTCTTATTTCCTCTGCCCATATGTCAATTCACTTCAGAGAGATCAATTCTGGAAGCAACGCCTCCTTTTGCTAATGAAATGGAACATCCTGCTTCACCTCACTGGTAATCAATCGTCGCCGTTATGATGCCTCGGGCGCCCGGTGGCGCTGGCTCTGGGTGTCCTGGTCAGGTGCCAGGTGTCACCTTGAAGGTGACCTTGGGGTGGCCACACCCTAGGAATGCTGCGTTCAGCCCCACCCCCACGTCTGATACATGCGCTGGCCGCAGCGGGGGCCTCTGGCTCTGCCTACGTCCCATCTGTGTGCTGCGGCGTCACCTCTGGTCTGCTGGTCTGGCGCCTCCCGGGCCTCCTGCCACGGCTGAGCCCAGCAGGGGACGGCACCGCCCAGGCCCCAGGGTGGCCCTTCCCCCTCCAGCAAGGTGCGATGGTCCCCCCACAACTCTGGGCAGCCACATGTCTGCAGATGGGCCCTGGGGACAGGACAGGGCGACATTGTGTAGGAGACGCCACAGGGGATTTTGCACTCTGTGTGAATTTGTGGTTCTGACCCAAGGAATTGGGCCCACTTGGCTGAGTTTGATGCAAGTTCAGCTACATTGAGCCACTGTTCCTAGCGGTGAGGTGCAGGGGATCACCCCTCTGCAGGTTCAGGGGTGCATTTCTCCCCCAGCAGTTGTATGTGTCACACCATGCCCCCTTTCCCCGGGCGCCCAAGTTCCTGTGCCCCCATATCCCCAAGCCCCCCATGTCCCCTACCCTTGTGTCCCCCACCCCCATGTCCCCATGCCCTGCAGGCCGTGCCTCACCACCCCTCACCCCACCATTCTGATGTCAGGTCCAAGGGTTTGTTTTGATTTGATTTGATTTCCTTCCTGCTCTTTAAGAACTGTGAGCTTTTAATGTGCACGCGACACCTTTTCAGAACCGCTTTCTTCAATCAGTGTTGTCACTTGGTTTTTCAGAATTTCTACAAAGAAATTGAGAGAGAAGAGATGTACCTAAGGTACGTAGGGGTCCCTCCGCATCCCCGTTACCGCCCCAGCCTCCACCCTTGCGGGGCGTGCTCTGTCCCCCGGGCTGATGCTGCAGGAGCCAGAGCTGAGCTCCCGGCGCTCCCCGGGGGCCTTCACCCTGGCCCAGTCCCTGCCAGTCGCGCCCACTTAGCCGGCTCGGGCAAAGTGGTTATTACCGCAGTGACTGCCACACAGGCTTCACGCCTCCTGGCCGACGCGTGAGGCCCTTTGGAAAAGAGGCAGCGCTGGGGAGTTTCATGGGTCACAGCAGCCACGCGATCAAGGGAGAATTTAGCTTTGGCCGTATGGGGAGCTGGCGACGTCGGCGCTGTCTGTTCATCCCTGCTGATGCCATCCCCGTGCCGTGCTGCCCGCTGGGGTTTTCTCTCCCACTTGCTCTTTTTCCAGAGAGATGGGCAGTGGCTGGCCCCTCTCCTCGTCACGTCTTGGCCCAGTGTCAAATATTTAGCAAGTTACTGCTGGGCAGTTACTACCAGCAGGATTTCCTAACTCGTGACTTCCAAAATAGCTTCATTTTCTCCTTTAAAAAATATACCCTATGAATTTAAGTAACTGGGGGAAACAATAGCTTCTTTTGTCTAAAATATGGGCTGCTTTATTTTAAAAATAACCTTTCCTTATGGCAGAGATGTCCTTTCGATGACAATCCCTGTGATCCTTGGGGCTTTTTATTCTACGGATTTGTGTGTGAGGGGTTTTTTTGGAGTGCATTTGGCTTCCATGGGGATGAGGCGATCTCCATCAGACACTGTCATCTCATTTCACATGTATGAGCAAAGCTGGAGAAGAGAAGAGAAAACCTGAAATACGATTCTACCTTCTTGTGCCATCCTCATTCTCTGCCTGAAAAAAGCAAACTTAATGTTTTTTTTTTTAAATACAAGTGTATATCATCCTGGCTGGTTTTTCTCAGTGTTTTCTGCACCGAAAGTTTTCAAGGCATGAATTGTGAGCATTGTAAGAAGAAAGTACAGAGATGATTTATTGTGGAAGGTAGACTTTAGCTTTTGCAGGTCTCAACTCAAATTATTTGGTGACATTTCATGAAGGCTGCTGTTTCTCCGTCTCAGGTATTTGTACAAGCTGTGTGACCTCCACAAGGAGTGTGATAACTACACGGAAGCAGCCTACACCCTACTTCTCCATGCAAAGCTTCTGAAGGTAATAAAAATTACCACGCACTTTTATGATTCTGTCATTACAAATTCTAAGAATATTTAAAGTCTTATTTTTCCATGATAAATGTTAGTAAACCCATAACTTAAGATTTTATGGATATTAACTAAATGTCATGATATAAACAAAGATACTTAGATTCAATCCTACTAAATGCAAAAATGCCACAGCAAATTATCGCTCAGCATCGTAAACACCTACCATTGAGTTGTCAGCCACCAGCGGGCTGATGGCTGTTCCTTATTGACGCCAACAGGACTCAGTGACGGTGGGAAGTACTGGCAATGGAAGGATCTCTGTGGTAGAGCAGCTGTGAGATAGGATGAGACATTATCTTCCCAGAGGATGGCAGCCAGAACAGGACTTTTTCCTCTGTAACGTCCCCTGAGTAGCCCTGTTAATCTACCAGGTCATGTCAACCCCCCCCCGGTCCTCCTGGGCACAGCTCCCCTGCCCAGTACCCCTGGGCACAGGTCAGTTGGGACAACAACCTCAGGCTCTTTTGTTGTGTAGTTGGCTTTGGGCATTTTTGTTTGTTTGCTTGTGGTGTCAGATTCTTGCTCTCCCATGTCCAGCTCCTGCAGTTAGTCATGCAGAGTAGACTCAGTGGGTGGATGGTGGGTGGGTGGGTAGTTGGGTAGGTGGGTTAGTAATTGGGTGGGTGAATGGGGGTGTTAGGTGGGTATGTGTGTGGTTAGGGAATTGGGGGTAGGAGGGTGGATAGATGCAAATGTCGGGGATGGGTCAGTGGGTGGGTAGTTAGATGGAGGCCACAAAATGTCCACTTTTATGTTTTAGAACTTAAGCAAGTCATTAGATTATCTTTCCCATGATATCTTATTAAAAATGGGGGAAGTTTGGGCCTCCCCTGGTGGCGCAGCAGTTGAGCGCTGGGCTGTGAGGCTGCCCGCAGCCTCTGCAGCGCCGGTTCGTTCCCCGGCCACCGGCGAGGGTCCCACAAAAATAAAAATAAAAAAAAAATGGGGAAAGTTTGAGCTGGATCAACAAGAATATGCAAGTTCGAATCTAATTGGCCTACTGGGCAGAAAGTCTGCTCATTCATGGAATCCTGTTTCCCAGCTCAGACCCGTCCCCAAAACACCAGAGATGGAGTGAGGGAAACCCGATGCGATTGGGCTAAAAATGGACACTGAGCGAGCCCGCTGGCCGGTGACTGCAGTGGGGGGACACTGGGCTAGGGTTGCAGCTCTGGCCAGAACCTCCCAGACAGTGGCTCCATCCTGACATCTGCAGTGACATCTGTCACACAAATATATCCAGACTACGCCGGAGACATTCAGGAGTCGAGATTTACCTTTTCTAACTATCAAATGGTCCGTTAGAAGCTAAATACGAGGAGGCTCCGCTCAGCCCGGGTGCCGTATCGGTCGTCACCCCTCCCGCTGGCCCGCACACGTGGATAAAGCGCTCAGGACCGTGATTTATGAGAACGGAGGTTTCAGTTGGTGCATCTGACGCCAGCCATCCCCCCATAAATCCTCGTGGCCTTCATTTGTTCGAAACCCAAATTCCAGTAACAAGGAGCTTTTGCAAATATGAAGATATTTCTTTAACTCACGGGAAATTAAAATGGGGCTGACAAACTGCTCCCTTGAACCATCCGTCTCCCGTCGTGCGCGGCGTTAGCTCATGCGTGTGAATGTAAAATAGACACAGATAGAGACTCGCAGACACACATGCTGTGTACAGAGCGTCTGCGTGGCCGCTGCACTGAGTGCAGACGGTGCTCAGCGCACGAGGGCCTGTCCACTCCCTGCACTGACATTAACGTCCCCCGGGACCCTGGCTTTCCTGGGAATGGGGTACATGCTACCCTCTCTCTGCATCTCAGCGCAGGGGGCACTGCCCCCCACTGCGGTCCGGGCAGCCTGGAGTCTGTTACTGTCTTTGCAGCGCCCCCAGTGTCCTACCTTAAAACAGGGCCCTTCTTCAGCTCCTGGGCCACACAAGCCCATTTCCTCCACGGAGCCTCAGACCCCCACCCTGTACGTGGCCTTGCCCCCCGAATGGCCTGGGAGTGTCTCTGCGGCGCTTCTCTGCGGCGCTGTGCAGAGGCGCCGTCCTGCATCAGGCTTCCTCCGCCGCACCTGTGGCCTGTGCCAGGATTCCACAGCCGGTTCTCACCAGATGCTGGTGGCGCTGAGCCCTGTGTCAGGGGCGCTGACTACCAGCTTGATTCAGGGGGGCTGTCGAGGGAGCTCACCTCCACTTGGGGGTCCCCTGACTTGCCGAGACCCCTGTGCATCCTTCTCCTTCATCCCACACGCACACAGATGCTACCCAGCCCGGCGTCTGCGCGAGCTGTGCCCGGCCTGAAGGCCCCAAGACACCTACACGCGTGTGAGGAGCCTGATGGCCTAGCGGGTCCCTCTCTTGTCGCTGGCAGGTGACATCCACGTGCCTTCCTTGCTGTTGGTTAACGTGTAGAGCAGCACGGGACAGGGGGCTCCCGCAGGCGCCAAAGGTCACTGGACCCTAGCTCCTCCTGCATGGGGCCTCATCAGCCTTCCAGAACCTCTGGGTCCACTCCTTAGACCCAACTTTGCCTCCCTTTGGGCCCAGGCACAGGTTTCTGCCCTCGTTCCTGGACCCCGGCGGCCTGGGAACAGCAGCCCCAGGCCCCAGAACCGGCATCTCCCTGGAGAGGAGAGGCCAGCCCGGGCAAGCCCTCACCCGCTGTGCTCTCTCCTCAGTGGTCGGAGGACGTGTGCGTGGCCAACCTCACGCAGCGGGACGGGTACCAGGCCCCCACGCAGGGGCAGCTGAAGGAACAGCTCTACCAAGAAATCATCCACTACTTCGACAAAGGCAAGGTGAGACAACGCGCTGTCTACTGTTTCCCTGGGCGCCTCGCTCGGTGTGGGCACCGTCTGTGGACACGCGGTATCAGCGGGGCCTGGGCGCAGTCAGGCGCACAGTGGAGGTCTGAGGCTTAGTCCTCAGAGGCCGCATCTAGGCAGACATCTTAAAAGAGGAATTGGTCACCCTTAGAGAAGCCAGCCGGAAAGGAAAGGCTGACCCGGGAGACAGTCAGGTCCCTGCCGGAGAGGGCCAGGCTGGACGCTGGCTGGAGGGGCTTCTGGCCACCTGTTCCTTTGAGGGTTGCCGTTTCCCTGCTGTCATGAGACCTAGGGCAGGGCAAGCAGCACCCCCTCTCTGCAGCTTCTAGGTGGTGGCTTCAGACAGAATTTCTCCCTGGGACTCCGACTGGTGGAAGCTGCCCTTGCTCTCGCCGGCAGGACCACAGGTCACACCTGGTCCACTTGCTGGGCCAAGCACTGACTGTTACTGTCTCGAGTGAGCAGCTGCAGCTTCTGCAAGTTTTGAGAACGACACTCAGCGAGTTCAGCTCTGTGGGCGGCTTGCTTGTCACTTGGGGAAGTGACGTGGTGCTCCCAGGGGGGCAACTGTTCTGACAAAGACCCCCCCCCTCCTGCCCTCTGGCCTCAGCGCAGGGTGAATCCACCCGGCTCCCCAGCTGCGCCACCCCAGCCCTGCCCCATCAACTCCTGACCAGTGTGTCTCTGCGTCCAGATTTCCCTCTGGATGTCAGGCCGCTCAGGCCAGTAGCACACTGTTGCACCCCAAACCCAATTTCCAAATAGGGTCCAGGGCTATTTACTGGAGCCAGGGCTCAGGGCTTCAACATCCCTCGTAGAGGGTACAGCTGCACCCCAAACAGCACCCATCCTGGGAAGGATGACAGCTGCCCTGTCGGAAAAAAGAGCTGCTGGAGATGGCAGCGTTCAGAACAGCACCTGGCTAGGCTGAGGCCACACGGAAATGAGGGTCAAGAATGTTCTGTGGGTCTCACCCAGCCCCATAGTAGACCTGAATGTATTTCTTCATAGAAACGAGAAGCTTTCACAATTAAGGCCAATCACTAAAATGTTAGTAACTGAGCCAGGGGAATCCTGTTTGTCAGAAACTACTAAAGAAATGAGCTGATTCGGCCATTTCTTCCCTGCTGCCCTCCTGACCCAGCCACATGCTGGCGCAGGGCGTCAGGTGCCAGCGAGCAGGGCAGTGCAGGAGGGCCCTGAAGGACTGGGCACCAGGGGCCTTTGCTGCTCTCCGGTGACAACAGGAGGCCAACCCTCAGGTTCCCCCTCCACATGACACCCCGTTTCCTGCCTTGGGCTCTGTGTTCAGGCCACCCCTCCCCTCTTGGGTCCAAAATCGCACCAGCCTTCCCGCATCTGCCTGGTGGGCTCTGCTGCGCCTGCCTGGGTCGGCTCCTGCCAGCCCCCTCTGCTCACATGAGCCCTCAGTGCCACTCCTCTTCCTTTACGGCGCTGCCTGCATGCAGCCACAGGTTTGCGTGTCTGTTTCCTGCGCGAGCCCCCGGCAGGCTGCATGCGGGGTCCGGGAGACAGGCCACGTGTCTAGCCCACAGGAGACCTAGTCTCAGAGCTGTGCCTGGTCTACCACACAGCGGGCACGCGTTGAACGAAGGAACAACTGGCTGGATGGAGGCTGGATGGGTGGATGGAGGATGTATGCATGGGGAGATGGATGGCTGAGGATGGAAGATGGCTGGGTGGAAGACAGACGGGTGAATGGAGGCTCAGCTCTCGAGAGTGATTCCTGCAAGATGAGACACGCTCGTGGTGGCAAGACAGACAATTGACCTTCAGTAAATAATAAGTTGAAGGGCAAAGTCGGTTTTTTTTAAGCAAAGGTGTCCTCTGAGAGGAAAAAGAATGTGCTGAGCTTGGGGTTCTCAGCCAGGACCCACAGGAGCCCTTCGCGCTTGTCATGACGTGCCTCGAGGGTGTGGGCATCGTCTGGGTGAGGCCAGGGACACCACTCGGCAGCCTGCAGCGGGCAGGAAAAGTGGACTGGGGCAGTGCCCTCAGGCTCTGTCTTCTGGGGGAGACAGAGCTGACCCTGGAGAGTGATGGGTTGGCTGCCCTGGGGGTCTAAAGGAGTCTTGCCTGTTCTTCGAAATTTAGGGGGACAGTCCTCACAGTGGCTGTTAGACTTGGATAACGGAGAGCAGAATGGTGAAAAGAAACGCCGCCCGCTCCCATCTAAAGCTAAAGCGAGACAGGGTGCAGGTGAGGGAGAAGATCTGATCAGATGAAATCTGAAGTACTTGGGTGATTCGCTGAGGCAAAAAGATCTTTTATCAACTGGCATTAAATTTCCTGGGAAAATACCAGCCGGAAGTAATTATCCATCTTCTGTACAGTCAAGAGGGACGGAACAAGCTTGAGCTTCAACCTTCTGAAATCCCACGGCGTCTGGAGGGGCGAGCCAGGGAGGGGCTGCTCTGTGACCCCAGGATTCCGAGAAGGGAGCCCAGACAAGGCACGTGGTCAGGAAGGGAGGGTAGAAGTCAGCCAACAGCTCTGAAGAGAAACCCTAAGAAATTAGGAAGCGGCACCTCTTTGTGGGAACAAGATGGCGTCTCTCCTGTCGGCCTGGGTTACTACTGAAATCCAGAGTTATGCCCCTTGGTCGTATTTTCTTTGTGCTTTGTCAAACGCCATCCTAAGCTCATTACTCGTTGCCCAGCTCTGGGCTGAGTCCTGTTTTCTCAATGTGATTTGTTGCTCCAAGTGCCTCGAGAGTGAGAGCTGCAGGCAGCAGCCCGCGGTGGCGAGGGGCGGCCCTTCTCCTTGAGGTGCTGCTGAGCCCTTGGGGTCTCTGGGCAGGAGGCCTGCAGCTAAGAGCAGCACTTCAGGCCTCCTGAGCTGCCAGTCTCCAAGCCCCCAGTCTGAGAGGCATCACCCACCCCCCCCCCCCAGGAGCCCCACTCCATCCCTGCTCTCCTGCTCCCCAGCATTGCTCTGGGTTCCAACCTGGCGGCTGTGCTATCAGCGTGAATTACTTTCAAGGTGCCCAAGCCTCAGGGCACCTCTTCTGAGGGGAAAGCTGGACAGGTGACCCCTTCAGTAGCCGGTGCCCACCGGCGCTCTCCCCAGGCTCTCTGGGTCCTGGCCTTGGGATGTCTGTACGCATCCTGGGTCGCCACTCCGTCTCAGCCTCTCTGCCTTCCCGACCCCGACCCCAGGCTCCCGTGGGGTCTCGTGGCGCAGAGTCTGGATCCCTGGGCCTGGAGGTTAGTCCTGCATCTCTGAGTAGCAACCTGTGCAGCTCTCGGGGGCCCCTCGCCCAGACAGGGACGCCTCTCGGCCCCTCGTCGTCTCCCTGAGCTGCGGAGAGAGCTGGGGTGCTGGCCACGGAGCGGGCGGGATAATATTCAGGTTGCCCTACCTTTGTGCTCTGGAAGCAGCGCGGCTGAATGGATTCTCTGCTCCTTTATATTGGACGCTGCGGCTTTTGAATTATGCCCTGTTATCTCTCTGTATTTCTCCTGCACAAAATCATCCTTCTATTTTTGCTTTCCATTTAAAAAGTTTTGAATGTCTTTCAGCCCAGCTCTTGGCCTTTTATCTTTTTCTTTCTCCCCATAAAACATGGCTTCCATCTGCTTCCTTTTACATTCTCTTAAGTTCTCCCTTCCTGGGCTAATAATTACTGCTTGCTCCTCTTCCATCTGCTTCTCCCGCTCATTATGAGTGCCCCCCTCCCCGAAAGCGCTTCTGTGGCCTTTATCATGGCAGACAGGCCTTCTTTCCTGAGGAGCTTGAATTGCCGGCTTATTGTATTTGGTTGAGTCCTTAGTAATTTTCAATAAAGCCTGTAATGCAAGTGCTTCG